TTTAAAAAAAAATAAAAAAAAAAAAAAAAAAAAAAAGATCATGGTGCCATCCTCTGACTATAAGAACGTCTCTAGAGACTGAACAGGGTGGAAACTGAGCCCCAAGGGTCTCTCCCAGCAATGGTGACAGACTCGTTGCGATGTAGCACAGCACTTCCTTTAGATCCACTTTTGGAACTGCTATTGGGCTTTGGGTTGCGGTCCACCCCTCAGGAAGCCGTGGGAATGAAACTCCAGCCTCGGTTCAGCACCGCGGGCGACCAGCAGCAGGAGAGTCATTCACTGGGACACCACGTGCCCCGCGGCACGGCCCCCTCGGAGGGAGGGTGGGTGCTGCCTGCCCTGCAGCATCGGCTAGTTTTCTAAGGTGCGGGAATGCAGGACCACTAGTTGTACACCTGAAAGTCATATAGTATGTCAACTATACTTAAAAAATAAGATTTAACAAGTTTTTAAAGATTGATGGGCAATTGCAGAGGTCTTTGGGCAGCTTATAAAGTGAAAGAAAAGGACTTTACCGTTTGTACCACTCTTCGGCCATGCTGTTGTCCCCCAGGGACCTGTAGAGTCGCCCCAGGTTCACCATGGCCACGTCGTGACTTGGGCTCAGAGTGATGGCCTGTTGGTAATGGGCCACTGCCTTCTCGGGAGAGCCTACAGCCAGAGGTGCGTGGGCGAGAGCAGAACAGGCCTTAATTACAAAATACACCAGCTCTTTCATCTCTCTTCTGATGTACCTCACTGTTGTTACAGACGCGTGCCATCACTTGTTCAGTTTGTGAATTACCCTGTGTTTTGGCTTCTTCTGCTTGCCACTGCCTAACCTTGAGCCATGTCACTGTTCTTTTCTATTTCCAAATAAATTAAAAATAAAAGAGCAATAGAAACCAAAACCGATTTATTATATATGTGTGTGTGTGTGTGTGTGTGTGTGTATAATTTTAGTCAAAATGTTTTCTGGCCATTGCCATAGCTAATATGATGTTTTGCGATTATCAGTGGTTGTTATTTGTAAAGATACATTGCTAGTCATTATACAAAAAAATAGGATTGGCTATTATAGAAAGCAAGCTGTTCTGAGGCAATTTCTAAGGCTCTGTCTCAATTACTATACTGTAGCACTATACCTGAGACACTGCTTTAAATAAGCATGGATCAGATGTAGCTAGAAAAATATCTTTTTAATCCCATATTTTTGTTTAAAAGGTATTTTTTAAAAAAATAATAATAATGCCACCTTGCATTTGTCCAATGCACTGTACATTTTAAAACATTTTAAGTGATCTCATATGATTTTTGCAGGTATTTTTTGATGCTATTTAGATGCCTCTTGGGATTTAAGAGATATTTCAGAATAAACAAAATTATTACTTACAGATACAGACACTAAAGTGCAAAGACATTAAGAGATTTGACAAAGATCCCAGAGCAAGTGAGGGTAAAGTGGGAACTAGAGTCCAGTCTCTCAGGCTGACAAGGTTCTCCAAGAAGCCTCCTGGTGAGGTTACGCCGAAGTGGCTGAGCTGCAGAGGAGTCTAAGGTTTACTTGGGCGGGGTGCTTATTACCTGCACAAGCATCGGCTCACGGGCACCTGTTCTGAATGCAAGTTTAAGCAGGAGGTGCCGGGTTACCGGTGATGTGGAGGATTTCACCAGTATCCTAACACAACTACAAAGAAGGTGGTGGGAAGGTACACAGTGTTGTCAGAGATATTCATTAGGGGGAAGGGTTGGGCGAGATTTTTTGTTGTTGAAGTAGGAAGAAGACTAGGTCAGGCCAACAGTCTCTTCTGGTGTTACAGAATTATTATGTTGCTAACGAACCAGCAGGTGGCACCACAAAACAATTTTACATGCAAAAATGGGGTTTCTTAAATGTATCACAATGTAAATTTATGTACTGTAAAACAGAACTTCCAATATCCTCAAAAACAAAATGCTTTTAAGTATTTCATACTGACAAAATAGTTAAAATTAAATTTTACTGCAGGGCAGATCCTGTAATCATCAATGAGAACAAAGTGGTGCTTTTGCACTAAATTCAAATATCTTTTTAGTCTTCTTTTTTTTAAAAAATGTTTTTATTGATTTCAGGGAGAAGAAAGGAGAGGAAGAGGGAGATAAGATAGAAACATCGATGAGAGTCATTGATCGGCTGCCTCCTGTGCGCCCCTTACTGGGGACTGAGCCTGCAACCCGGGCCTGTGCCCTGACCGGGAAGGAACCTCGACCTCCTGGTTCAGGGGGTCGATGTTCAACCGCTGAGCCACGTTGGCCGGGTCTTTTTATTCTTTATAAGTGTTCATAATATGCCAACAGTACATGGAGCACAAGTCATAAAAAACCCCAGAATCCCTTCTCCGTGAAGTTTTACATTAAATAGGATGGAGTAAATGTATTTTAAACAGCACTGTCACAGAAGAATACTCTATTAATTACAATAATACATTTGTGTAACATATATCACATGAGGAACAATAAAATAATTCTGGAGGCATTTTTATCAGTTGCAGAAAAGTATTTACCATCTGCCAGTAACTAGATTCAGAGCGGGTTGTGCATCATTATAGAGGAAGATTTCATTATCATAGATTTATAAACCTATATAAATAATACTCAAAGAAGACCCATTAAATCATCAAGGCTACTTCCTGTCATCTGGAGCGTTTTCCTTAGAGATATAAGAACTGGGCAGATTTTACAGAACTGAGCCTGAAGATTTAGAGAGATGACAGCCCCATGGCACACCGTGACTGTCAGTGGTGCAAGCCTCCTGCCAAGCCCAGGAAATTTAATTCTGAGGCATTATTTGAGTGGTTGCCATTTTGCTCGAGAGTATTATCTAATCTCAACAAAACAGGTTCTCTCTAATTTCACTTACCGGTATCAACTAAGAAAACTCCATAGTTGTTGTGTAAGTCTGAGCTGTCTGGACAGTTCTTTATTCCAGCCTGGTAAATTTCCTCAGCTTCCTTAAATCTCTCCTTTAAAAGAGAATAAAGAAAAATAAACAAGGAAGTTTAAAGAATTAACAATAAACTGAATAGTAGAAGTGAGAAAAGCAGAAAATAATCTGCTGAGCACCTACTGTGCAACAGGCACCAAGATCAAACACTAGGTACTCGGTGTGAATGAAGGCCGACGCTAACTGCACGCCTGCCTACCATCCATCTGTGCTTAGCTCCTTTACGGCAAGCAGCTGATGTTTACTAAGAAGTGATATCTGGAAAGACTGGTTCTGTAGTTGGAAAGAGCCTCAAAATGGTTGGTTGAATGGGATGCCCCCCACCGAGTCACTGTCTGGATGACAATGGGTGACTCATTATATAGGAACACCTCCTGGGTGGCCATCTGACTGGGAGACAGGGAGGCCTGGGACAGTTGTCTTACAGCTGTGTTTGCAAAGCTAGCACTCTTTTCACCTACACTGTCTGGTTAATTTGGGGAGGTTTTGTGGGGGGAGGGGAGGACAGGCGGATGCAGATTATGGGAGGCTTTGTTATACCCTTTCTGTATTCAAATATTTCTATGGCCCACCAAACTGTTTGCCACTTTCCTTTATCCAACCTGTGCTTTCCATCGCTAAGCCGTTCCCCCCAACAGGAACGCATGTCCCCTCAAAGGCACGCCTCCGATGCCTATCTCTGTGGCACGGTCCAAGCGAATCACCACATCTCCAATGCATCTTTTTTATCACCCTGGTCTACTCTATAAAGATGCACTTTACCAGACTTTAATAATTCTGAATCATCGCCCGGCCGGGTGTGGCTCAGCGGTTGAGCGTCGACCTAGGATCCAGGCAATAGGGGTTCGATTTCCGGTCAGGGCACATGCCCGGGTTGCGGGCTCGATCAATGACTCTCTCATCATTGATGTTTCTGTCTCTCTCTCCCTCTCCTTTCCTCTCTCTGAAATCAATAAAGATATATTAAAAAAAAAAAGATTCGGAATCAGCTTTTAGGTACATCCCACCCCCCAACCATCTTAGAGTGTCATGTCACATACGCTTCACAATATAGAGGGTAACAGGTAATTAATGAATCAATACCCAGGTTCTAGCAATTACTCACAAAGTAAACCATTTCCTAGCTTCCCAGTACTGCTGGGAAGGTCGGGTGAAAAGAAACGGTTTGGCATGAAGCACATCGCAACTCTTCCTTAAATATGCTCGAAGCGTGGACATTTTCTGTAATTGTATCACACGTTACTAGTACTAAGCATTCAACCAAATGACAAGGGGAGGAACAGCATCAATCTTCTCAGACGTGACACCTTAGCTTGTGAATAAAAACGTATTGTGTGTGCTTGGCAATAAGCCAAGAGGCCCAACTCTGATTCAACCCAGAAAAGGAAATGCTCTTTTTCCTCCATAGAACGACCAAGGCCATCTCTTTGAAGCCACACGTTTAAGTACCATTATGGGAACAAAGTGTGGTTTGAACCTGGCACATTTCACTTATGTAAATTCTAGGTCCATAATCCAACAAAAATGGAGAGCCATGGTTCTGAAAATATGTTTTTCTCCTAATTGCCAAACTCAACAAATTATCAAACTCAAAAAAGTTAAAGATGAATGAAAATCTCAAAATATATCCTTTCAATCCACTGAAGGGAAGAAAGACTTTACAAGATACCATCTCCTGCAGGACTGGCACATCTGAGTGGGCTCGTGTGTTAACGGAGACAGGCAGAGCACAAGCCCCACACGCCTCCCGCCACACTGACAGCTCGAGAGGGCCACTTGGTGCTGACCGGTGTCCGTCCACCCATCCGCACACGATCACCGCACTGGCCGCAGGAAGTACGACTCAGCGACCGAGGGCTGGGTTGCCAGCTTGGGTCCGGGCTGGAACCCCGGCCTCGCCCCCCGCCACCGCCCGGCTGTGACAGGAGGGGGCCTCTCGCGGGGTTGCTGTGAGGATCAAAGGGACAAACCGTGACGCCCTCGGAACGACGCCTAGTACACAGTAGGCATGTGTCACGTTAACCATGTACCTTAGGGTTACTATCAGGTGCGTGACTGGCGTTAAGGGCACTACTTACACCACTGAGCCACGGGTGCCAGGTACATGGAGATGAAGAAAACGAAACACCTCTTTGTAAGGAGCCCAAAGGCAAGGAGCTTCCAAAGGAGCTTCCAAAGGCAGCCCAAGAGGGATAGTGTGTTAGGGTGCAGGCGGCCTGGAGTCGTCACTGCTGTCGCCAAAGGCATCAGGACCCTGCCCCAGGGGCATTGCGGCCAACAGTTCCGAGCTCCTCTCCCATCAAACCTCTTTAAGTAACTCTATATAAGAAACAATCAACTAACTGGAATGTTTTTTCTTTTAATTTTTCTTGATCAATTTCTAACACAGAGATTGATAAACAGTATGTCAGAGGCAACCAGAGAAAGAACACCCTGGTAATCCAAACCCGGATAAGGAGTTTCTGAAAACCTTGAGTTTCCAGTGGTACCACCTGACCAGGGCTAGTTTTTGACACTAATATCAAATGTTTATTTTTATAGGATCAATTTTTTTAGTTTCCTTAACAAGTCACTTTTAAATACACTACCATAGTCACGGTGAAATAAAAATTTAAAAAGTTACTAAAAATACAATAGATGAGATTTCTTAGCACAGGAAATGAAAGAATATTAGAGTTGGAAATAATAGTAATAGATACTACTTAACTACCATTTTTAACAAATGAGAAACTTGGGTACAAAGTGTTTGCCCAAGATCTCATAGCTCCCAGGGGACAGAGAAGACTTAGGTTTTCAGTGGACGTTCAAGAACTTGGTAATCCTTGAATAAAGCAATTTCTGGAAATAAACAAAGGTGTCTCTGGCATCAAAAGAAACAATTACACTTTTGGATATCGATCCATCCACCCATCCATCCCCTCCCTCAACAAGTATTTCATGAGCACCATCTGTGTGCGAAGTATACAGTTGAGACAGAAGAGTAAAGAGACAGAGTCGTGCCATCATGGACAATTAAGTGGGATTCAGAAAAGAAGGAGACATCTCAGTGTATGGTGACAGTGTCACAAGAGAAGCATGCACACCTGTCATGATCCACATGCCCAAGGATGCTGGTTACCATGAACTCTAGCAGCTGTGTTACAAACACGTGCTTGAAAAAAATCTGTGATCTTAAAAACATCCTTATAACTAAATTGTGGGAGAGTTGAAAGGTGATTTCCCTGAAAGAAATAAAGTTGATGTCTTCACATTCTAACTTGCTGAAGTCAAAAACAACAATTAATAAGTTTTCAAGTGTAATTACTGTTTTACCTGATTTAATTTTACTTTTTCCCCATTTTCTTGCTGCTCCAAAATAGGCAAAGAGATCACTTTTTCATCTAAAACTTCTCTTATGTTTGGCTTTATGTGCTGAGTTTCCATTAGAAATTTAATTTTCAAAGTCCAAAGAAGTAATGGGATTTAAAAGACTGTGCGTGTCAGAAGCAAGTAATCACATCTCTGTACCCTTGGTAGCCCCCAAGGGCAGTCTCAGGACTCTGGCTCTATGAAAATGTCTTCAATATCTGTCTTTCTTTTCCTGTCACTTGACTATAAATTTCAAGGAATGATTAACTCCATTTATTAAAAAATGAAAGAAGACAAAAATACTGCAGAAGAAAAATACCTTCTAGGTGTTTATTTAAAATAAATTCTACCTGCTCTGGAAGGAAAATACATTTATCTTTAAAAAGCAGTAGCATTCGCCCTGGCTAGTGTGGCTCAGTTGGTTGAGCACCCTTCCATGCACCAAAAGGTTGAGGGTTTGATTCCTGGTCAGGGCACGTGCCTGGGTGGTGGGCTCAATCCCCAGTAGGGGGCGTGCAGGAGGCAGCCGATCGATCAGATGATGTCTCTCTCACATCGACGTTTCTCTCTTTCTCCCCCTCCCTCTCCCTTCCTCTCTCTTTAAAATCAATAAAAACATACATATATTTTAAAAGTAGTAGTATTTAATCCCTGAAGTTCAGTTTCATGCCCTCACTTTTATTCACCCCTTCTGGCTAGATATCCTGACCTAAGCCTGACTATTCCTAGTGTCTACTGATTTGTAAGATCCAGGAGAAATGAACATATTTATAGAACAACTTTAATTAAAAATGCCTGGGACCCAGAGAGTGGTTCTGACAAAAAATACTGTCTGCAGCACATCAGAGTCCCCAGCTAACCACTGTGCCGCCTCAGCATGAAACCGGCCTTCAAGGGCAGTGCTCAAAAATGGGCAGCATGCAGCCAGGGCTCCTCTCCAAGGCTCAGAAGCATTTCCAGGGGGTGGAAATAAAATGGGCCTTCGGGGAGAGATAAAACATACTCAACATCTCCACTTTTAACATGCTGTAATTACCCAACATGGTATTCTTTTTACCGTAAGGAGGGAAAGGTAAAAGTAGATCTTCTGAACAAGGAACCTGGACTGTAATTACTCTCTTGGACAAACTGATATGTTTGGAAAACATTTCTAATAGTTCAAGTGCAGCAACAAGGACAAACAGACATGGGCTTAATGCAGCGATCCTCAAACTTCTTGGTTTTAGGAACTTTTTGCACTCTAAAAACTACTGAGGACCCCAAAAGAGCTTTGTTCGTGTGGGTTGCAAGTACTTATGACAACAGAAATAAAACTCAGAAATTTAAAAAATATTTATTAGTTTATTTAAAATGATAATAAACTCAGACATAACATATTTATGTGAAAAATAACTATATTCTCCAAAGCAAAAAAAAATTAGAATGGTGTCATTATTCTTTTTTTAAATTTTTTTTCCACTTTTTTATTGATTTCAGAGAAAGGAAGGGAGAGGGAGAGATATAGAAACATCAATGATGAGAGTCACTGATCGGCTGCCTCCTGCATGCCCCCTGCTGGGGATCGAGCCCACAACCTGGGCATGTGCCCTGACTGGGAATCGAACCTCGATCTCCTGGATCCTAGGTCAATGCTCAACCGCCGAGCCACACCAGCCGGGCATAGTGACATTA